GTGGGGGAGGGGTGGCCCCGGGGTGGGGGAGGGGCGATGGTGCTCACGGAGAAGAGCATGTTCTTCTTGTCCTGGTTGACGGCGCGAGGGTCGGGGACGGGCTCCGTGTGCTTGATGACGGACACCGACTCCCCTGCACCAGTATATCCCAGTTCAGACCAGTACGGACCAGTACGGACCAGTATGCACCAGTATACCCCCCTCCCAGTTCATCCCAGTTCATCCCAGTCCCCTCCCAGTTCATTCCACTTCATCCCAGTTCATCCTAGTCCTCTCTCAGGCCATCTCGGTCCTCTCCCAGTTCATCCCAGTTCATCCCAGTTCACACCAGTACACACCAGTACGCACCAGTACCTCCCTAGTCCCAGTCCAGGCCATCCCAGTTCATCCCAGTCCTCTCCCAGTCCATCTCAGTCCTCTCCCAGTTCATCCCAGTTCATCCCAGTTCATCCCAGTTCACACCAGTTCACACCAACACCTCCCCTAATCCCCTCCCAGTTCATCCCAGTTCATCCCAGTTCATCCTAGTGCTCTCCCAGGCCATCTCGGTCCTCTCCCAGTTCATCCCAGTCCATCCCAGTTCACACCAGTCCACACCAGTAGCCCCCCCACTCCCCTCCCGGTCCATCCCAGTTCATCCCAGTCCCCGTCCAGTCCATCCCAGTCCATCCCAGTCCCCTCCCAGTTCATCCCAGTCCCCTCCCAGTCCATCCCAGTCCCTCCCACTCCCCTCCCAGCCCCTCCCAGTTACTCCCAGTGCCCTCTAGTCTCTCCCAGTCCCTTCCCAGTCCCTCCCAGTGCCCTCCCAGTCCCTTCAAACCCCATCAAACCCCTCCCAGTCTCTCCCAGTCCCTTCCCAGTTACTCCCAGTCCCTCCCAATCCCTCCCCCCAGTGCCCTCCCAGTCCCTCCCAGTCCCCTCCCAGTGCCCTCCCAGTGCCTCCCAGTCCCTCCCAGTGCTCACCAGTAAGGATGGACTGATCCACCCGCAGCGTCGTGGACTTGATGGAGAGGATGCGGATGTCGGCCGGGACCTTGTCACCCACTGGGGGGGAACTGGGAGTTACTGGGACATACTGGGAGACACTGGGATCCTCCGGGGGGGGGTACTGGGATGGTCCAAGGGGTTACTGGGGGCTACTGGGAGCTCCAGAAGGTTACTGGGAGCTACTGGGGGCTACTGGGATGGTCCAAGGGGTTACTGGGAGCTACTGGGAGCTACTGGGATCCTCCAGGGTGGCTACTGGGAGCTCCAGGGGCGTTACTGGGAGCTCCAGAAGGTTACTGGGAGCTACTGGGGGGGCTACTGGGAGCTACTGGGATGGTCCAGGGGGGTTACTGGGAGCTACTGGGATGGTTCAAGGGGCTACTGGGAGCTCCAGAAGGTTACTGGGAGCTACTGGGGGCTACTGGGATGGTCCAAGGGGTTACTGGGAGCTACTGGGAGCTACTGGGATCCTCCAGGGTGGCTACTGGGAGCTCCAGGGGCGTTACTGGGAGCTCCAGAAGGTTACTGGGAGCTACTGGGGGGGCTACTGGGAGCTACTGGGATGGTCCAGGGTGGCTACTGGGAGCTCCAGAAGGTTACTGGGAGGTACTGGGAGGTACTGGGCTGTCCCCTCACCGGCCACCTCGGCGATGTCCCCGGGGACGAGGTCCCGGGCCTTGATGCGCTGCACGGCCTTTCGGTCGGCGCGATAGACCTTCCCCATCTCGGGCTCGTACTCCTTCAGCGCCTCGATGGCGTTCTCCGCGTTGCGCTCCTGCCACCGGCGGGGGAGGGGACACCAGTTGGGGACACCCCGGGGACACGGGGGGACACCGGGGACACCAGGGGACACCATAAGGACGTCCAGAGACACCATAAAGACGTCGAGAGACACCATAAAGACGTCGACAAGCACAAGAATGTGAGGAGAACATCAAAGGAACATCAGGAGAACATCAGGAGAACATCAGGAGGGATCAAAGGGACATTGGGGACACCAGGAGACACCATAAAGATGTCAAGAGACACCATAAAGACGTCGACAACCACAAAAACATGAGGAGAACATCAAAGGAACATCAGGAGAACATCAGGAGAAGGTCAGGAGAACATCAGGAGGGATCAAAGGGACGTTGGGGACACCACAGGGACATCAGGGGACACCACGGGGACACCGGGGGACACCATAAGGACGTCGAGAGACACCATAAAGACGTTGACAAGCACAAGAACGTGAGGAGAACATCAAAGGAACATCAGGAGAAGGTCAGGAGAACATCAGAAGGGGTCAAAGGGATGTTGGGGACATCGGGGGACACCATAAGGACATCGAGAGACACCATAAAGACATCAAGAACCACAAAAACATGAGGAGAACATCAAGGGAACATCAGGAGAACATCAGGAGGGATCAAAGGGACGTTGGGGACATTGAGGGACACCAGGAGACACCATAAAGATGTCAAGAGACACCACAGGGACGTCGAGAAGCACAAGAACGTGAGGAGAACATCAAAGGAACATCAGGAGAACGTCAGGAGGGATCAAAGGGACGTTGGGGACATTGAGGGATGGTCCACATCTCCAAGGGCCACCTCAATGTC